CCGTCTGGCCGCCCGCGCTGCGCTCCGCCCGCGCCCCGGCCTGGCGGCTTGGTCCGGGGCGTAGCGCCGCAGACTTTGCGTTCTGGGGAGTGTTTTTTTTTGGGGGGGGGAGGGACTGGTGCAGATGTCAATCCAGTGGAGGACACTCAGCCACCGCCTCGACCTCTGACCCGGCAGATGACAGGTCACCTCAGGTTGTGCTTTCTCGAGATTAGAAACGTGCCACGCGGACTTTCTAGCTGCCGTCTTGAAAATACAGAATCGATGTCTTCCTTTCACAGTGAAAGAAAAGCACAAGAAGCAAAGAAACTTTCACAGTCTTTGTGGATTGGGCTACTACACGTCGAACCCTGAAATCAAAGTAAAGGTAATTTCATGCCAAGATTCTTCTGATTGTGTGTGTGTTTGGGGGGGGGGTGGCTTTCAGGGATTAGAGCAGAAACTGTTCCAAGGTGGACCATCCCGTCCCCCTGTATGGGGGTGGAGGAGATACCTGTTTGGAAATAAAACATTCTTGTAATGAAATTTAATGAGTTACTTTCTTCTGAAAAATACCTTGGGACGCCCCAAAACTTTTTCTTCTTTGAAATCTTGTGGGAAGGAAAGTAATCCATGTGTTCAGTAGCTGACTAAATCAGAATGTCATTCAAGGTTAGCCCGAAGAAGGGACTGAAAATGTGGTAGAACTAATTGTGATGAGCCGTGAAAAAAGAATGAGGAAGCGTTCGTCTGTATCCCCATGGAAAACTTCAAAAATTTGTCATAAAGCAAAAAAAAAAAAAAAGGCTAGGTATAGAAGAGTGTGAGAGTAGTGTACATCTTTGTGTTAAGGGGGGTGTAACAGCATAGAATTTGTGTTTTTCTAACTAATGAAACTTTGGAGAACTAATGAGGAAGCAGTCTGAAGACAAAAGGATGGGAAATGCATATACAATATAAATACATTGTATATATAAAATTTTTGTGACTTTTAGATTCAAAGAACAGATTAAAGGTCTACCTCTTAATGTATCTGATAGTTGGTTTTTAATTTGTGGTGATTTTTAGTCATTTTCAATGTGACTTAAAAATCTAAGCAGAAAAGCTAAAACATTGAAGATCAATTTAATGATTATTTACACCTTAATTTTTACAATGTTGAGGTCACAGACAAATTCAGGGTTGTTTTTTTTTAAGATACTATGTATCCCCAGCTGGTTTGGAGCTCAAATCCTCCTGCCTCAGTCTCCCAAGTAGTGGGATTACAGATCTGTAACATAACACCAGAAATTCAATTTTAAAGATTATTATTTGAGTTGCTAAAATAGTCAATGATACTGTTTACATTTGGCATAATAACTGGATTATCCTACTTTGATAATATTGTTTGTGTCTCCCTTTATATTATTCAAAAGTTTTACTTGTATACAATTTTGCTTCTTTGACATCCTGCCCTCCCTCCAAAGGTCCACTCACCTCACCCAGGCCCATTACTACGATGCTTCATTACAGTGATAATATACTTGGTTGTATAGGTTAATGTGCTTTGGGGAGTGGAAAGCTTTTCTTTTCCTTAAGTAAATTAGATATATTAATCTGTGTGTGTGTGTGTGTGTGTGTGTGTGTGTGTGTAGTTTATTTCTTACAAAAAATAAAATAAAAAGGGTAACTGTGGCTCACGCTTGTAATCCTAGCTACTCAGGAGGCTAAGATTTGAGGATTGCATTTTCAAGCCAGTCTGGGCAGAAAAGTCTGTAAGACTCTTTATCCCCAATTAACCAGCAAGAAGCTGGAGGTAGAGTTGTAACTCACATGGTAGAGTGCTAGCTCTACCAAGTGAGGGTATGAGCCACTGAGTACAAGTACAAAAGCAAAAGCAAAAAAAGAGTTGCATGCCAGTGATGGCTCACACCTGTAATCCTAGTTACTAAAGAGTCTGAGTTTTGAGGGTCATGATTCAAAGCCAACTGGACAGGAAGTCCGTAAGACTCTTATCTCCAATTAAACACCAGAAAGCCAGAAGCAGAGCTGTGGTTCAAGTGGTAAAAGCTAGCCTTGAGTTCAAAAGCTTAGGGACAGCACCCAGGCCCCACAACAGGCACCTCTTCCCCCATGACTCCCCCCCCCAAAAAAAAAGAGAAAAGAAAGAAAAGAAAAGAAAAAGAAAACAGGCAGTGTTTTCTTGGTTTAAAAAAATCTTTAACATTTTTATGACCATGGTTGTTGTAAATATAATGATTTTTTTAGTTCTGCCAACCTAACCTTTTCATTGAGGTTAAGACTGAAAAGGGATATTCTTTAGGGAGATCATAGGCAAACTCCTGGTGTCTAATACAGTATAATCAGAGTAGCTAATAGTGGGTAACAGATGCTGTAGGCATTTTTGTTAATATTACCAGTGTTCTTTATTGTATTCCTTTTTGATATGAGGTGTATAGTAACCACTGTAGTGCAAAATGGTACATAGTTTTTCTTTGAATTCCATGTATGTAGATTTATATAGCCTTTCTAACAAATGGGATTATACTTCAAAATATTACTGTAAATTGTATTTTTATTACAGAAATAAAGTGATGCTCATGGAAAGTAATAGCTATATAGTCTGTATACTAAGGAAAAACCCTCTTTATATGAAAAACCACTACTTCTATCTCACATTTTTTCCCAGAGATAACTACTATTAACACTTGAGTATATCATTCTAGATCTTTGTACATTTACAAATAGGTATTTTTCAGTCTTGAAAACGGAATTGTTCCTTTAGTTTGGAGACAAGTGTATTACCATGTAGCCCAGGCTGGCCTCCAGATCTTTCTACCTCCATCAACTGAGATTATAGTTATATACTACCACACCTGGCTTATTGTTGTGTTCTTCAATGATTGTCTTCCTGCCAGTTTAGTCTCTCTTTATTTCTTACAGGATAGGGAAATGATCTGGAATATGTCAGAAAGTTTAAAGTGGTATATTCCTTAAGAAATACTTTTTTTTCTACTGGGGAACCAGTTGGTGTGGAGGAATTTATAGTTTGTACAGAGGTTAAACTGATGTGAGATATATCTTATATTTTGAATACAATATAAAGATGGATCTCATAATTTTTAAGTAGGACTCTTTGGAGCTAGTTTTAGGGTCTTGTTTGGTTAAAGGCCTTTGATTGAGTATATGTTGAGCTACCGACTGATAGTGTACATCCATCTGATTCACCCAGGACTATACATTTTGTATGCTTCCAGAGGATTTGTTGTTGTTTTGTTTTTTCCTCCAGGTTAGTACTGTACCACTTGAGCCACAGTTATACTTCCTGCTCTTTGATAGCTTTCTGGAGGTAAGAGTATAGATTTCCCTGCTCTGGCTGGCTTCAAACCATGATTTTCAGATCTCAGGATCCTGAGTGTGAGCCACTGGCTCTCAGCAAGCAGCAATTTCCAGTCTTAATTCTTTAGAGGTGATAGAGCTTGCAGAAAATTCAAAGTTTTAAGACTGTTTACAATTAGATGAAGTGTATATAAAGATGTAGACTGGAGATGTTCCTTAGTGGAACATTGCTTGCCTATCATGTTCAAAACCCTGGGTTCCAATTCCTATCCAACACTACACACATAAAAGCCTGGAAATTTTTTACATGAATATATGCATGCATATCTGTATGCAAAGTCTATATCAATAAAAATTTTAAACATTAGTTAATTGCACAACAATCTTTTTTAAAAATGCAGTACTATTGACTGCTGTACAATTGAGGTCAGTAGGTTTGTACTTTTTTTTTTAATTTTTATTTTTTTTATTTTTTTATTTTTTGGGTCCGGTCGTGGGGCCTGAACTCTGGGCCTGAGCACTGTCCCTCAGCTCTTCAGCTCAAGGCTAGCACTCTACCACTTGAGCCACAGCGCCACTTCCGGCTTTTTTCTTTTTGCTTATGTGGTGCTGAGGAATCGAACCCAGGGCCTCATGCATGTAAGGCAAGCACTCTACCACTGAGCCACCTTCCCAGCCCCGTAGGTTTGTACTTTGATATGGTTAAAAGTGTATGTGCATTTATAATAATTACAAGATAGGAAATGATAGATTTTTAAAAGAAACATAAAATTGAAGGGGTGAGGGGCTGGGAAGGTGGCTCAGTGGTAGAGTGCTTGCCTTGCATGCTTGAGGCCCTGGGTTCGATTCCTCAGCACCATATAAGCAAAAATAAAAAAGCCGGAAGTGGCGCTGTGGCTCAAGTGGTAGAGCTCTAGCCTTGAGCTGAAGAGCTGAGGGACAGCGCCCAGGCCGAGAGTTCAGGCCCCATAACCGGACCCAAAAAAAAAAAAATTGAAGGGGTGAGATTATTTGCAACACTTTCATTTTGGTAGTTGTACAGTTTTGAGGAAAAATATGTATTTCAATCTTAATATTAAAAAAATCACATTTTAGCTGTGTGTGTGCATATGCATGAAACTCAGGGCTTAGACACTTTTTCAGCTTTTATGTTGAAGGCTAGCACTCTACCACCTGAGCCAGAGCTCCACTTCTGGCTTGTTGGTGTTTAATTGGAGGTAAGACTCTTAGGAACTTCTCTTCCCTGGCCTGCTTTAAACTTCAGTCCTCAGAACTCCTGCTTCAAACTGCAATCCTCAGAACTCAGCCTCCTGAATAGGTAGGATTACAGGCCAGAGATATCCATGCCAGCTGGCTACATCTTACTTAGCGTTAGATGTTTAGGAGTTGTAGGTATAATATATGAGATGAATATATATCTTTTCCAAAGAACAGAGCTATTTGCTGTTTTGCTCATTACTGCCTGTAACTTTTAGATTTCAGTATTGTTAGAAATATGAAACTAGGATGTTTAAGTGGGTTTTGTTTTTGGTTCTGTTTATGGCCAACAATTCCACCAGTTGAGCCGTTCCTCACATCTAGCAGTTTTGTTGATTGATTCATTGCCTGGCCTCAAACAGGAGCTTTGTCTCCTTAGAAGCTAGGATTACAGGCATAAGGCCCCTAACCCCATCAGGTTTAATTTTATCAGTTAACTATTGTCTAGAATCAAGTGTGTCAAGTACAAAGTGTTAGTGTTAAAAAGAAATTATTTCTTCCCCTCATTCTCAAAGTGACATCTTTACTCTCATCTTTCCATCACATTTTTACTTCTGATGCTAAGTCAAATGAAATATTTACTCAGAACATTTTAATAAAATTTCATTGTGGAGAGAAAATTACTCAGTTTAATACTATAGTAAAACTTCAGTTTTTTTGTATTTACTTCCTTATAGTACTTTATGCAGATGCATAAATAAAATACTTTGTGTAGTTTTTTGGCAAACATTACATCAGTGGACATTATGTCCTTTCCTTTTCTGAGTCTAAAATCTTGGATTTATATACCTCTTTTAAGTTTTACAACAAGTT